AATGGTAACACAGGGTACCTCATCTCCTTCCATGACCAGGTGACCCACCTTGTGGGTGAGGGAATGGCTGTTGCTGTAGCCTACAGCAAAGCTTTTGACATGGTTTCCCATAGTTTTCTCCTGGAGAAGCTGCAGCTCTCAACTGGGACAGGTGCACTCTTTGCTGGGTAAAGACAGGTTGGGTGGCTGGGCCCAGAGAGTGGTGGTGAATGCAGTTACATCCAGATGGTCACTGTGCTGCTCCCCAGGGGTCGGTGTTGGGGCCGTCCTGTTCAGTGCCTTTATTGATGATCTGGATGAGGGCACTGAGTGCATCCCAGCAGGTTTGCAGACAGCTCCACGTGGGGGGAAGCGTGCATCTGCCCGAGGGCAGGCAGCCCTACAGAGGGACCTGGACGGGCCGATGGCTGGGCTGAGGCCAACGGGACGGAGCTCAAGCAGCCGAGTGCCGGCTCCTGCGCTTCGGCCACAACAACCCCACGCGGCGCCGCAGGCTTGGGGCAGAGCGGCTGCAAGCTGTGCGGAGGGAAAGGAGCCGCGGCACCGCCAGCCCCGCACCCCATGCATCCTTTCAGCTCCTCTCCTCCCTCCCCCCAGTCTCTGGGCTGCGCACACGGAGCGTTGCTGCTCGGTCCGTCCCGTCGGATGCGGTTCGCGGCCCCGCAGCCCGGGCCGGTGCAGCAGCGCCACCTTCCGGCCGCGCTGCGGGAACGGCCACGGAGCAGCAGGGAACGCGAGCTGCGGCGCCGCGCTGCTGCTGACGGGAGAGAAGCGAGCTGCACTTCGGGCTCATCGCGCATCTGGGACGGGTTTTGCTTTTTTTCGCTTTTTTTTTGCTTTTTTGTCCCCTCATTGTCACCCTGCAGGCCGTCATTACGAAGAGCCCCACGGGTCAGAGCGCAAGTCTCACTGATGCTCTGGGACCTGCAGGCCTTTGCGTTTGTGACAAACGGCAAGTAATTGGTGTTCTATAGAACGTGCCCCGTGGGCATTTGTCCCAGAACGTCGGGATGAGATCAGTTCAATATTGTGCCTGGTTTTATCAGACAGCAACCAGCCCGAAGCAAAGAGAAGCAAAAAGCAAAATGCAAAGCCATGCAAGCTCAGGAAGTTGGTCTGGGTAATCCTGGAGATGGGGGGAAATGAGTGGTGAGGGGAGCACAGCACCAGGGCGGACATCACCATGAGGTCCTTCCCCTACAGCTGCCAGGAATGGGGTCAGGGAGAGCCAAGCAAAGGCACGCAGTGATTTTGCACGGAGCCAATTTAGTGAAGAGAGAGCAGGAGGGTTAGGGAGATGAGATAGCGGGAGAAAAAAAGAAGCGATGCAGGAGAATAAAGAGAGGGAATGAGAGAGGAGACGTTGATGCAGGAGGGAAGAAAAAAGATCAGATATGAAATACGAGAGAGCAAGGATAAAAGCTGTAAAGAGGCTGCACCGGCACTGCAGCTGCCACGACACGGCGAGGATTGTCTGTCTTGTTAAGCACTGTGACTATATTGATAAATCTTAACCATCACCACGTACTATTCCTCCAGAACAAGCCATTTCTGCACTTCCTTCAGAACTTGGGCTCTCTCGTTTTGTTTTGTTTTGGTTCTTCTCATCTGCCTCATCCCTCTTGCTTTTTATTCCCTTTGCATCCCAGCACTGCCATCCCTTCCCACTGCCCTGTGGGGCTGCTGCTGTGCTTTCAGGACACACGGCGGGCGCAGGGCAGCTCTGACTGCAGTGATGGCTGCTACTGGTGTGTGCTGCCATGCATGGGCTGAACACCAATGGGAACAACAGCGCTCAAGGGTGAAGCACAGAAGAGCAACATCAGTTTCATTACTTACATACATGAACTCATATATGTATTCTATGAGGGCTGCTCTGAAAGTAATGCCTCCTGTTTTATGATGTCAGCCCACCACAGCAGAGCTGGATGCTGGTGGTGCAGCAGTAGAGGTGGAACCTTCCCACCAAGATCCATTGCATGTTGTTGCCGTGTGACAGATGGCAGCAGAGGGGCAGTCTGACACAATGGTGTCTGACACAGAAGTGAGGATGACGCAAAGGTGTGGAATTGAATTCCTCTGGGAATTCAGTCTCACCCACTGACATCTGTCAATGGTTGGTGAATGTTTCTGGAGACAAACAACGGATGTGAGCACAGTGAGGGCTGGGAGGTGCATGCATTTCAGTAGTGGCAGCAGTGGGCCACTCCACCAGTGCACGTTCTGATGGGCACATCATGCAGGCTCTTCTTCATTGCTGACAAAAATGCAGAGCTCATGGTGGGGACTGCATTGAAAAACAGTGTCGTAAGGCTGAGAAATCATCATACTGTGCCATTGTGCTCTTTGTATCTGCTGTAGTTTCCATGGAAAGAAATGGGAAGTATTACTTTTGGTACAACCTACCTCTACGCGGCCCCTTTGCTCAGTGTGGCCAAAAGGTTGAACATCCAAACCACTGCTTCCACCCATTTCAACCAGAGCTGGAGCTGGGACAACCCATCTGCAGAGAACCCCACTGCTTCCCAACCACAGCGCGCCACGCAAAGACAGCCCAGCGAATGTAGGGCACCAAGCAGCCCCCAATTAGCTCTCAATCTTAATTACACACATTACTGATGAGCTCATCAACTTAATCTAATTAGTCTGCAGAGCTCAATTGCTTGTCCCTTTTCCTTAAATAATGTGCCACGTAAGCCCGTTATCCCTTCTGATAAAACCTGCTCGCTCACACGATCCGCCAGCCAGGCTGACAACCAACCCCACACACCTGTGGCACAGCACCCAGCCCCACACCCTGCCAGACGCCCCCCCGTGGGGCTGCTGTGCTGCAGGGCTGCGCACACAGCTGGGGTCAGGCATCCCTTAGCAAAGCAATGAGGTCAGATCCTGCAGTGGGGATGGAGGGCTGCAGTGGGGAGGGGGCGGTCAGCCCCACGGAGGCGAGCCAAACGCATCCGTGACAACAGCTTTGTGCTCATTACTGATTGACTGCCTTTGCTTTTGGCTCAGCCGTGCGGTGTTTCTTCTCCTCTGGTGAAAGCAGTAATCCTGGCACTTGTGGCTGTTTAAACAGGAAAACTCAGATAGCGGCCACAGCTTTGTCACCTCTGCTCTGCTCCATCAGTCAGGGGCAGTCCGATATCAGCCTTAACCCATCTGCCTTTCTCCCCTCCCAACAGCTGCAGAACCTCTGGATGCTCCACCGTCTTCCCCCGCCCGCCCCCTCTCTCTACACAGGAATCAATGAAATCCCCTAAAAGCTCATAACTCGGAGGTAATTATAAGAAGCATCAATTACCCAGCAATGTGGATTTCATGAATTCAATTAATTTGCATAGTGATCGATTCAGGCGGGTCCTCTCCGGGTCCCTGGAGAAAGTTAGGACATTGTTCTGCACGCTATTGATTTTACAATGTAAAACCAAAGCTCTCTCTCCTCTTATTCAGAGCTGCTCATTCAGCCATATTAACTTTCAGATCATTTATTTTTGTATGTCTTTCAACTCTGTTTGTTGCTATCACACAAATGCAGAGTATTACATTGTAGAGAATAATTGAATCAATACAGTCATGGTACTCTGGGTCTCCCAGACTCTCAGGAACGCGAGCTGGCAGGAGCCCACATGGAGCCTGAGAGAGCTTTTTTTTTAACCTTTCCAGTTACTAAAACGCTCGTCTGGCTACATATTAACTTTCTGCACTGCGTGTTTGTTATTGTTTCACATGCATTGGAGTGGGGGATGCACGAGCTTTGATGAATACATGGAGAGGCTCCGGCGGTGTCTCCAAGCATCAGTGGATCCTCTGCTGAGATGCTGCTGCTGTGCAGAGGAGCCACGTGCCTGAGGGATGCCTGAGGCTGTGGGGCTGAGGAGGGCTGCTGTCCTGCTCTCCCACTGTCCCACTGCCCTTCTGTCCTGCTGTCCTCCTGATCTGCCATCTCGCTGTCCTGCCACTGTTCCACTGTTCTGCTATCACACTGCCCTGCCAACCTGCCATCCCGCTGTCCCATTGCTGTGCTGTTCTGCTGTCCCACCATCCCTCTGTCCACTGCCCTGCTGGTCCTGCTGTCCTGCCACCCCACTGCCCCACTGCCCTGCTGTCCCACTGTCCTTCTGTCCTACTACTCTGCCACCCCCCTGAGGGATGCCCAAGGCCGTGGGGCTGAGGAGGGCTTCTATCCTGCTGTCCCACTGTCCTGCCATCCCACTGCCCTGCTGTCCCAGCACCAAGCAGCCTTGGGGATGCTCGAGAGCCCCAGCACAGCGCTGTGCCCCCCAGCACGGTCAGCCCTCCTTCCCCTCTCCATTCTTCTCATCTGCAAACAGCCACCCGCAAATAAGGGAATCAGAGGAAAAAAAAAAAAAAAAGAAACCTTCGAGTGAAAAGCACCGAATAAAAAAGGAATCCTCCTTCAGATTCAAATGGCTCTGAAAAGAGAGACAGTTTTTAATTTTGGTTCCCCTCCCATTGGGATATTAGACAGCTAAATAGCAGTGTGCCTGTTTCCTTCAGATAACCGGTTCCCAATGAGCACCCTAATTGTCCCCGGACCCTCTCTGCCACCGCACAGAGCAGGTCATTTACTGCACAGCACACGCAGCTAAATACAAATCCATTTTCCAAGGGAAAATTCCATTCTTATCTGAGTTCTGCAAGAGGGTTGCAAGCGGCCTGTGTTAATTGAAGCTTTGATGTTTGGTGGAGGAGGGCCTCTAATCAGCCGCACAAAGGGGCCAACGCGCCGCCGTGCACCGAGTGCGCAGGGCTTGCCTTGCAGGGAGGACATAAGGAGGAAGAAATGTGGATAAACGGTGCCCTGGAATGAGGGGCAGGGAGCACAGGTGCCCGAGCATCACTGGCAGGGCTGGGAACCGTGGCAAACTGTGCCCACGGCCAGCACATGCCGGGGCTCCGATGGGTAAGGCGCCTTGGCAGTGCTTTGGCATGTCTTCTGCAATATCCTCCAGCAAATCAAGCATCCCCTTCTTGGGATGTTTTCAATCTGCTTTATGTTGATTTTAATTAAAGAATTTGAAACTGAACAAACAGTTCGTAGCAGGTGGCCATACAAGTGTGAAATAAGCAAACTGTTTTATCTGCCACCAACTCCACCAGTAAATTCCTTCAAATTAATCCCAGCCTCCGAAAGGCTGTTGATTCCGACTGAAACGCTGAGCAATTTGGACTCTGCCATTCTCTAAATATTTGCCTTCATTACGGCGCTGGAAGCAGGTGTGTCTGGCAGCCCGTGCTATTGCACGAGTGGGTCTGCCTGCCACTTCCCATTCGCCCAAACCGTCTCTTTGGAGCAGGATTTGCTGCTGAAAAACCCACCTGGCAGATGGGTGTGTGGCTTCCAAGGGCTGTTAGGAAAGCAGAGATATGTGGCAGAGGTCCTGCTGGGCACGGGAGGGAGAGCGGGCGGTGAGCTGGGTGTGAGCACCACGAGGCTGCTGCAGAGCTCAGCGTGGAGGTAACCTTGACTGCACAAAGGCAGCGTGGGTCCTTCATCGAGGTAACGGGCACTGCATACTGATGGACCTGCAGGGAAGGGAGAAGCGAAGCACAGATGCCCAGGAGCTTTATGTTTTTCCTTGCAAGGAGATGGCTGGGAAAGGAAAAAAGAAGGGAAAAGAAACATAAATGCACGCTCCTCTTCATCTTGCACTCCTGCCCTCTGTCAGAGATCTTAGCGGCAGCTTTAAGAGCTCAAGTTCTGCTGACAGGAGGTACCACCTTGGGGTACATCCTTAGAGGCCCTGGGGGCTGCCCTGTGCCCATGGCTGAGTCAATGCCATGCACTGAGCACCTTGCTGCCCAGTGCCAAGCGCTGGGCTGGAAAGGAGGGCAGCAATCAGCTCCCACCCCGCTCCTCCCAGGAGAGACGGTTGTCCGCCAGCTCCTTTCATCCCATTAATGTTCAGAGCGTGTTCGACATCAGATCCATCCTGTTTGCCCTCCCTAATGACCCAGATCTGGGAAATTAGAGCGGTGCTCATGGTCAGCATCCACTTGCGGGAGCCGGTGTTTGCCTGTGCTAGCTAAGCTAGCGAGATAATTACAAGATGTTCTGCTTTCCTGGGAGTATGGGAGGTTTTTCTTCCCTTCCCCTCAATAAATATGGATGCACAGCTGCTGTTAAAAGGAATCAACACAAATAAAAAGAGGCAGGCTCCAAACCCCACGTGTTTCCCTTCAGTTATACGGTCCCAGTGCTGCCTCTGCCCTGAATTCAGTCAGGTAGGAGAGGCTGCTGGGTGTGTTTTCCCCCAGTTATCATGCTCAGGTGGCAGCAAAAGCAAAACAATGCTAACAAATGCATTAGGATGGTATGGCATTCAGTGTGATAAATCAGCAATCCCCTTTTAGTACCTGAAGAGGGGTTGTATGGAGGAAGGAGGCAAACTTTTGGTGGGATCTGTGTGACAGGACTAGGGAAAACGGCTTCAGACTACAAGAGGGGAGAGGGAGACTGGAGCTGAGGAAGGTTTGGCATTTGGGGGAGCTGAGGCATTGGCACAGGTTGCCCAGAGAGGCGGTGGTGCCCCATCCCTGCAGACAGCCAAGGTCAGGCTGGACGGGGCTGTGAGCACTGCTGAGCTGTGGGTGTCCCTGTGCGTTGCAGGGAGCGGCACCAGGCGGCCTTCAGCTCCCTTCCAACCCAAACCATCCTGATTCTATTATCCCCCTACATCATCATCCCAAAATGCAGTATGAGACCTGCCCAGAGGTCCCCTGCACCCCTCCACCCTGCAGACCTCACACGTTTGGGCAGATGTGCTCAGATCACACAGGGCTGGTACCTCTTCCGTATGAGCCACTAGAGATTTCTATCCCAACAGTTCCTCCTAGCCTTTAAAAACCAGGATGTGCTCTACTCTATATATCAATCTCCCAATCACTAAATTAATTTCCATCTCAGTTACAGCACATTCGGAGTCTATTAGTAAATCATGTCAGAGCTGCTTAGCAACTTTTGTTAGAAGATTCCTGTTAGATCATGTTTCAAACCGCCGCAGATGGAACAGCTATTATCTTAATAAGTTAAACATTAAAGCCATTGCAGCAGGGCTGGGGAGCAGGAGAGACTTTCTGCCTTCCAGATGCGCCCATCCTGGCAGGGATGCTGCTGGTGCTCCCCAGCTCCTGTCCGACACGTTGGGTGCAGGAAGCTGCTCCTCTCCTGGGGACGATGAGCCCCCATCCCAGCATCCCTGATTTGCGCAACGTGAGCAAACAGCAACAGCCTGGAGACAGCCAAGGTCAGGCTGGACGGGGCTCTGAGCACTGCTGGAGCTGCGGGTGTCCCTGTGCACTGCAGGGAGCAGCACCAGATGGCCTGTAAATGTCCCTTCCAACTCAAACCATTCTGTGATCACAAGGGCTCATCCTGCTCAGAGCACGCAGACACTTTCAGACCACGCTGAGGAGCTTTCAGAACCTGCCGTGCTCCTCCTGTCTCATCCCACAAGCGACGCGCAGGGTGAGTTATAGCATGGCGAGATGCACACATATTCTGATAAGGAAGAATAATAACTTGTCAAAGATATATATGATATGTGTTTTCTTCCCAGACAGAATATATATTGGGCTAATTCATCAACTCGCCTGGCACTGGCCAGAAGAGAGAGAGAAGAATCCTAACAAAAAGAAGCCAATAAGGAGAAGCCCCTTTGAGTCAGTGCCTCCTCCCCTTCCCAGCTCCAGGAGGGATTTGGGGAAGGATGAAAACGGGGGAGGACAAAGTGGGGGATGCTCATGCAGAGCAGCTTGCTGCAGCGGGCAGAGGCTTTAGCACCAAGCCACTGTGTTTATCCCAAGGACCCCTCGGAGATAACAGCAGCTTTGCTGCACCAAGCCCTAAATCCAGCTCAAACGTTAGCGCTCCCTGGATGCAGCCAGCGGCCGTCAGCCCACCCTGCAGCCTGCATCCCTGCTTCATGCAGCCCGGCAGGGCCGCTCCTTCCACAAACATATGCAGAAATACACAGATTTCTCCATCAGCAATTACCTGCTTCCACATCGGACACCTGCTAATTATTTCCAGCCCGCCAGATGGTGCAGCCATCAAGCACCGCCACAGACGTCCAGCCAGAAAACAGCCAGATTTCCCTCCTAGGAGCCGAGGGATTAGAAATAAAGCTCCTCGCCAATTAATTAGTAATTACTTTGTTTGAAAATGAAACATTCTGGCAAATAAAAGTCGCAGCGGTTTCGAGAGGGGATGGGGCAGCAGTGTCCCCAGCATGCAACCAGCCCCTAACTGCAGCGGGGAGAGGGATGTGCATGGTGGAAAGAAACAACAACTGGAGCAACAGAGAAGATATAAGGAGGGAACAGCCCTGGCATGCTGCTCCCTAACCAAGCAGTCAGTGGGAACAAATAGAACTGGTCCCAGTGGGAAAGCAGTGCCCTCCTGCGTGCCACCTCCTGAGAGACAGCGGTTGGGGTTGGCAAATCCCTTCCTGCTACAGGGAATACAGAAAGCTGCAGAACGGATTTACAGAATGATTTGTCAACTGACAAGCAAAAATATATTACCAATTTAGGGCTGTGATTTGCCTGCAACTTTTTAATCCTTGAGTTGTTGTTGAGTAGATTAAAGTGTCTGCTTTGATCCAGGCTTTTAGGCGGAAACATAAATATCGCCGCCGCTCACGCTCCCTGCACCCAGCCAGCAACTCTGCCGTGCTGAGGTGTGACACCGCCCCGACCCCCTGTGCCCACAGGGAGCCTTTGCCTTCCTCCTGCTCTCAGCACATCCTCTGTGTGCCCCTGCCTGCCCCTCACCTGTGCTCAGAGGATGCTGTGCTCCAGTTTCCATTTAGAGGCTGTTCTCTGCATCTCTGCCCTTTTGCTTGGCAGGCTCCCAGCAAAGCCAGGCCCTACTTTTAGTTCTGCGAGCCCCCAGGTGTGGATGAGCTCTGGAATAAAGGTCCTGGGGAGCACCAAAGTAACACAAAGCTCAATAAGACTGAGGGAAGGCAGCACCCAGCAGCATGCCATCCACTCTCAGACAATGCCCCCAGAAATGTCACAGCAGCAGGGTGAGAATTACCCTGACATTTCAGTTAGTGCAAATTTGTATGGACTCGCCAATGTTTTAATTACGATGTAAAAGCCTTCAGCCAAGGCAGGTCACTTTGGTTTGCAGCACATCTCAGTGTGGGACACGTGGGGCCATGGCCCAGCACTGCTCGTGCCCCCCATCACACTCCCTATCATAAAGCATCGCCTGCCACAACAGAAAGATATCAATGTTCTGTATGATGCTATGATGGAGAAATCCAGCTTTTCCCCTCCTTCCAACCCCAGTTCAATGCCACCCCATGTGGGCAACATCACCCAACTACCCAATACTTTCACTCCTGTCACATACTTGCATTATAAGGCACAGAAGGAAAGCGGGCGCTTCTGTATGTAAACATAAGCCTTCCAGCAGCTGGATTCCTGGCACTGCTCACATGGCACCACAGCTGTCAGACTCCCAGGTACTACAGCAAAACGCCTCTGCTGAGCCCCAGCCAGGCCATATGGGGCCATATAGGGCTGGGAGAGAGCACCGCCCCATGCCCAGAGCGGGAGCACAGCCTGCAGCCAACCAGAGCTGAACTGAGGGCTGCCATTAAAATGTCACTGAGAAAATTATTAAGGTAAACCACTTCCGCACGTCAAAAGCAAAGGCAATCAGTCCCAGGCTTGTCCCCCTAGGAAATTATGTGGAGTAATTAATCAAAAAGCTAATGAGAAATGTGTTTTCTTTCCTAGCCTAACACCACATCATATTCTTATTAGCCAAGGTTATTACAATAGTAATCATGCATGCTCTGAGTTCAAATTGGGTTTTTTTGCTCCACTGCCGCCAATTTAGAAAGCCATTAATGGAGAAGATAAACCCTGATACGCAGAGCAGCCCTCCGTGTTGATTCACCTGTTGTGTGATCACCATCATGGCCCCATCAACACACGTTTGGTGATACCCAACTAGAGGCTGAATCCACACATCACCCCACGTGCTCCAATTTGGAGCCCTTCCGATGCCATCACTCCATCCCAGGAGGCCACCAGGCACGATGTGAGAGGAGCAGATTTTGCTGCTGCATGCAAAGGAAAGGAAAAAACTCCACACAGAGAGGCTGGGAGCGCTCTGTCAGGGTGCATCTTCGAGCCGCTGGGTGCTGCACGCTCGAGCGAATCTGGCCTATTTATTGAGATGCCTTTAAGTGGGATCTCAGTGATTCTGTAAATCTGGCTGTAAGTGGGTAATTTACTTGGTATTACGGGTTCCCCCTGCACCCGCCCCAGAGAACAGCCATCTGCCAATCTTCCCGGGCCAAAACGCACCGTCAGCAGCCCGGCAGAGGGAAAACAGCTCTGCTTCATATCCAGCATTAAATAATTCAGCCCCCCTACAGAGGGAACGGGGAGAAGAATGAGACTGACAAAAAAAAAACCATAAAGATTTCCTGTGCCACGTTAAAAATGCAGTGAGCTGATTAGCTCTCAGCACAGCCCTCCAGCACGACGCCTTTGCACGCATCATATACAGCACCTTCCCTTCTCCTTTTGCACTTGGGTGGAGGCAGAGATCTTGCTGCAAATGGTCGCCCCCCCGTGTGAGAGCCACCTCCCATCTTCTTTTTGGAGCTTGGCTGCCATCTGGTTGAGTCTGGAGAAACGGAGGTCGTGTTGGGTTTTGCCAAGCTAAAAGCCCATCCGATGCCCTGGGCGTGCTGCCCCCTAAGCCAGCTCCAATGCGTGGATTAACAAGAACCGATGCAGCACAGAAAAGCCTTCAGAAGCCCAAAAGCAGGGCCTGCAGCCAGCCTGGAGGGCACAGTGCTCTCCATGCTCCCTTTGATTGCACAGCAAGACGTGGGTTTTGCTACCCATGCACCCCTCTCTGCTCAGAGCCCTTAAAGAAGAAACCTGTGAGCTGGTAATCGCAGGCAGGCTCAAACATTATGACTTCTTTACGGCCATAAAGCACTTTCCAATTACGAGATGTAAGACTGGGTGCCGGATGGTGGCAGGGGGACACTGCAGGAAAAGTGAGGCACAGGAGGAGCCCACAGAGCAGCTGAACTCAGAACCCCGCACCAACCACCAAATAACACAGCTTAAATGTGTTTATTGCCATCCAGACTGCTTTTTAATTTGATTATTTATCTCCCGTTTAGCCTCTGACAGATCAAAGGCTCGGCAGAGGGGAAGCAGAGCCAGGCTGCGCATGAAAATGAGCCCTGATACATAATTAATTAACATAAAACAGTTTCATTAGGAGATGGCGTTACACGGCTGTTTGTCTTAAAAATTTAAGTTGTGTAAAGAGGAGGGAAAACCCACCTCCCCCCCTTGGCAGAGCACTGCCAGCTTCACCCCATGCCCACATCCCAAACCTGGGACACCACGCCCCATCCTTTTCCCTTCATCACACACAGCCTCCCGTTGATTATTAATCTGTTTTTAATTCTATTAAGAGACGGCCAGGAGAAAGAGTATCAATCCTAGATTAACAAGGTTATTAGCGCTTCATTATGCGAGGTGTCTTTGTAATTGAAAAGGGAGAAAAGGAAGCACCATAAATATTCGCAGCCTCGCTGCTCCTCGGGGTTTGCGGGTGGCTCCTTTTATTCACAAGGATATGGAACCATAAATATTAAATATCTCCCGAAAAAAAAAAATATAATAAAAGAATTACAAGGAGGAGAGAGGATGCCCTCTGGATATTCCAGCGCTGAATGTTCTTGCATTTACAAATATTCATTAACTGGGATCTGCAAAGTTATTTCCACCAAGACTCGGAGAACGAAGCAAGAGAGAGGGGGTTATTAAAAAAAAAAAAAAAAGAGTCTAGAGTAAATATTATTAGTAATTTTTATCTCTGCGTGCCCCTAATTATTCCACAATTAAGAAAAGTGCACATGTGCATATACAATCACTAACCTGGCAGCCTTATTGGTTCTGTGCTCCTGGCACCGCTGCCAGCTGCCACAGACTCACAGGCACAGGGGAAAAGTGTGAGGCTGGAGCCCAGAGGGCCCCATGGAGGGCTCCATAGGGGGTCCCACACCAGCCCTATTGCTCAGTCCCATCCTCTAGTTCCATCTCTTGGCTGTCCCAGCAGCTCAGGGTGACTCACATGGCCTCCAGCCTTCACCAAGCGCCCGCCACTCAGAGCTGCTGCCATTTAGAGCAAAATTAAAATGACAAATCTGGGGCTCTTTTTAATTAAAAAAATAATAGGAGATCACAGCAGGGAAGAGTTACAATAACGTGTCACCTGCCAGAACCCACTTTAGCAGAGCTATTTAAGAAAAAAAGAGGGGGGGGGGAAATAGCCTGGTAGTCAGAGGAAGGCACATTTCCATCCATCCATCCATGCTGAGCCCTGCAGGGCTCAGGGAAGCAGCATTCGTTGGGAACCAGGCAGGAAATCACAGCATTTCAGAGAAACCACTTCCATCTGTTTCCTGGTGCGAAACACGGACAGACACACATCTCACTGCCCTCCACAAAGCTGCCCTGCTCATCCAGCACCACGGTCCTCCTGCACCCCACACCATGGCCAGGGGTCACGGGGGGCAGGTGATGTCACCCACCAGGGATTAAGCTCTTAATCTTGACTAAACACATTAGTGATGAGCTCATCAACAAAAATCTAATTATTATGTGTGAGGCCAAGCTTAATTGCTTGTCCTTGACATGAATAATGCACCACGTAAGCCTATTAGCCAGTGTAAGCCTATTATTATTATTATCGTGCTCGCTGTCAAAAGTATAAAAGCAAAACAGTCGAACAGGGGGAAAAAAATAATGTTATGCAATTAGCAGCAAAATGCCAGACAAATAAGCTCATTAATTCTTGGAGGGAGCAAACTCTCCCAGTAAGTAGCAACTGCCCATTCGGGGGCTGGTCAGGGGTGAAGCCTGCTGCTGGGGCAGCTCGGAGCCCAGGACCTGGAGATGGCAGAGAGCAGGGGCTGGGTGGCACGAGGGCAAGCAGGGTGCATATGGGGACAACACAGCACTGCCAACCCCAGCCAGCAGCTGTAGGTCCCCCTTCTCCCTGCCCAGACACCTTAAAAGCCGCAGTTATTGGGATGGAGCTGAATGCAAAGCTCAGTCTGCATCCCAGCATCTCCCTGCCATCACCTGGAACCACACACCGGGTGCAGCGACCCCCAACCTGCCCCAAAACGCTGCTCAGTTCCTCCGCATCATTTGCTAATTAAATCCCACTAATGAGAAAATCAGGATGCAGGAGCTGGCAGAGCAACGCTGCCTCCTGCGCACGCACTCCTCGCGGACTTATCACTCGTCACAGGATGTTTACAATAATTTTTAATTTGTGCAATTATTAATCATTTTTTCTATCTGCCTCATTTGCATAATAATTACTCTGCTTGGTGTTTGCCATGACTATGAATGACAGTGTTTTAAATTAAATTAAGATTTTAATTTTTTTTTTTTTGGTTAAAGCTAATCAAAGTTGCTGTTAAGATGCCAAGAATGGCACTGCTGCCCTTCCAGAAACAATAATCAAGAGATCCGCTTCCCAGCACCACTCACTCCATCTCTATCACCCCTCTCATCCCACAAGATCCCAGAGCCTTTTCCAATTCCTCTGCTGCCAGAACTGCTCACACACAGCCACGTCAGACAGCAGAGCAGAGCCAAAGCAGGACACAGAGCAAGGGCAATGGGACAAGCCATCCTCCCCCTTCCCTAGTCAACACATGTGCGTGCACAGGGTCAGCACGGGAAGGAAGGCACACACATGGACCAACTCGTGTGCTCAGAACTCAGGTTGGGCTCTAGGATATGCAGCACACCCCAAATACTCCTCCATCCCCAGCACACGTGTGCTGCAGCACTCAGGAGTGCTGAGCACGGCTGCACCCACACCTCGGGCATCCAGCCCTGGGCAGGGGCACCCCTCTGTGCCACAGGCACAGCCAAACCCAGTGTGCCAGCACCCTCTGCTGGCTGCCATGGCCTAGAGGGGGGAGGCAGCACTCATCCTCACCACTCTCCTGTGGTGTGGGAGCCCTCAGCAAAGCGCAGGCAGCTTTCCTCCTCTCACTGCCCGAGTCAGATGTGTGTTGGATATCTTGCACGTGAAGCCAACATCCCACACGTCAGATCCTGCAGGTGCCACAAGAGATACCAGAGCCCAGCTCTACACTTGCAAAGAGTGGTTTTGGAGTCACTCTGAGAGGTACAGGGCAGAAGTATTCACACTCGTTTACTTGTGTCAGATCTTACTGTCCCCTCAGAGCCACCACCCCTGCACCCCACTCCACTCTTCTGGTGCTGGTGGGGCACGGCAAAGCAGCTCTGGGATGGAGGTGCTCCAACCCAGCCAAGCTCCCAGCCTGTTTGCAGACACACCTGATCCATCAGCACATGGAGAGAGGCAGCTCCCCTGTCCCTGCTGAAGCTGCAGAGCCTTTTCAAAGCCCGTACATTATTATCCACACCAGCCATCACCGCATTTGCCAACTTGCATTTGGCAATGATACAAAAGGCTGCATTTTTATGTGTCAACTGCACCAGCTAAAGTCTCCTGTATCTCTTTGCACAGATATATCTTAGCAAGAAGGTGTCTGGTAATAAAATTTTAATACACATTATAAATTCAGTACTGCAGCAAACTCTGCTATGAGACCCCCGTAGAAATAATAAACATCCGAACCTACATCTAAAATTATAAAACTGTAGCCTTTAAAATAAGTTGAGATGTTCAACTTCAATGCTTCACTTCTTTGCAAGCTCCTGAGTTGCCTTCTTGTCAGCCATCTGGGCAAAGAATCTGCTGCTCGAATCCGACCGACCTACAAAGCGAGACCAACGAGACTGCGGCTCCACACCGCCCTGCGCGGCCATGGCAACGCGACCGGAAGTGAAGGGCGGCGCAACGGCGACAGAGGGCTGGGAAGCGGGCGGGACTTCCGCCGTTTGTGGCGCGAAGTGATAGGCGGAGCCTCGCTGAAGGGGGAAGAGGTGGGCGGGGCTTCGCCGAAGAGGGAGGGGCCACGCCGAAGGGCGGGGCTGCCAGCTCTGCCAGTGCCCGCATGCTGAGATGGCTTTACTGGCGTCCAGCACAGCGCCCGCAGCCCCGCAATCCAGAAGCCACACAAACAGCTTTTAAATAGCCCCCCCCAAACCGCCCCCCACCAGGAGCTCCTTGCTCTCCAGGCCTACCAACCCGTTTTGTAGGATACTGAATGCTGAGGACAGCGCTTGATCCAGGCAGAGGAGCCATTACTTATGGCTCTGGCAGTGGTAGCAAGCAAATCTCAATTCAGGCATGTTGTCTCACATGGTTATTTCTTCTTTCTACATGTCTTCAATGCTCCACTTGTATGCAAGCTCCTGAACTGCCTTCTTGTCGGCCATCCTGGCAAAGAACTGCTTCTCAAATCCGTTGGACCTACAAAGTGAGACCAGTAAGACCATGGGCTACCATGCACATTTCTAAAGTCACAAAGCTTTTAAATGACATCACATGTTTTCCTCTACTTTTGCACCACCACCTCCAGCCCAATTTCCACCCCTATCTGTGGCTAACAGCAGATTGTGCCTCCCATGAGCCACAACAAATCAGATTAGAACTTGGCTCCCTTCTGTCCCAGACAAGCATGTCTCCACCACCCATTTGTAACTGTTAGCATGGTAAAGGCTGAATGTGTTAAATCTCACTCACTGTAAACTCTCTGAAGTTGTATTACCATTTAGTTGTACTACCATTCAGTGATATCATTGTACCAGGAACACCCACCTGTCCACCCCATCCCAGCGATGCCCAGGCCATATATTAAATCTGTTGAGGGGAGGTGCTGGTCCACTGTACTTAGGTTTTTCTAGAGACAGAAACAGCAATACAACCATTTGTTACTTCAGTGCAATCTTCTGATCACATTCCCACCAATCTGGAAGGTTTACTCAGACACAAACACCGGCTGCCTAAGAGCTCACAGAGGAAACTTCCAGCAGTACCTTCAAACAAACCGCAGTGTGCTCACTGCCTATGTCACCACATACTGCACTCTAACCTACTGAATAATAGCCACAGAAACTGCTAACGCGTCAATAAGAGAAGATGTTGCTGTGGCACTAAAGCTAGACTAGCAGTCCTTCAGGACTCAGCTGCCACGGTGACCTAAAGCTCTTCACTGAACAGCAGCTGCATTTCTATGCTCCCTGGGCTTTAAAACGCACACCAGCACTCCATGTCCACACCTTTTTCCTTGTTCTCTTTGGCTTTCCTTTTTTTGATGAACTCAGCCATTGGGTCTCCTTCCCTCTCTTGTTCTCGCAGCATTCGATCCAGATCCTCATCATCGATGTAACGAGCCAAAGGCTTTTGCATCTCTTTTATTGCATCTTCCACATTCTGCTGCTGTTGCCTCCCCTGCGCTAACCTGAAAACAGACACACAAAGCTTCACCTCAAAACTACAGAATCATTTACTGTGAGCTGCTCAATTTGCAGTACTGACCACAGTCCACTGCGTGCAGCATTTCTGATAAGCACCCACCAACAAACAGGGTAAATCCACACAAAATAACCCGGTCCCAGGCACAATACCAACCCTCAGGCCCCAACCCTGCAAAGTGGCATGTCACCAAAATCACCTTACCCCTTTCCCCATCTGGCATATTGTTCATCTCGCTCTGACTTTGCTGCATCTTTCTGCTTCTGTTCAAGCCGTTCCTGCTCAAGGTCCCTCTTGCGGCCTGACTTGTCACGGAAGATGGTTTCTGTGTGTCGGGATTCCTCTGGGGGTAACAGATACCTTAAGTCACTCACGTTGGAATGGTTTCCAGACCGTTCAATGACTGACTCATGCAATCAGCTCTTGGAGTAACGGTCTGCTCCTTCAGGACTTTCAGATGGGGCAAAAGCCTCACAGTTGTTTCACTGGCCCTTCTTTGAAATTGCCACTCAAATTTTATTTCAGAGACCCAGTGGCCTTACCTATGTGAATTCATCAGCATGCCTAGATGACAAGCAACAGGGATGCTCTCCATCAACACCCTAACAACCAACCCTCTAAGACAAGGCCTGATATAGCATTAATAGGCAGCCAAAAGCAGAGAAAAAGCTGATGTTTGTGCAGTGGTTTTAGACCTTTACCTTCCAAGTGCTTGCTACTTCTCTCCTGCTTCCTGAGCTCCTGCTGCTCTTTCCGCAGCACGTCAGCTGACACCAAGCCAGCTTTGACCCCAGACATCATTTTGGCCTGCAAATCAAACAAGAATCACATCTGCTGCTGGCTGAGAGCTGTCCAGTGACCTACAGGTATAACAAGGGGAAGTTTCAGGAGAAACAGCCGCGTTCCAAAACCACTTTGATGCCATCTTTGGGAACAGTTTCCACAGACCTCCAGAAAGGTAGAGGACTGAGTCAGAGCTCATCTTTCACCTACCTCACACTTTGTCTTGTTGCAAATTGACAGGCTGGCACAGCTGCATTTACAAGCTATATTTCTGCTCTACCATCTGTAAGCCATTCACGCTTTTAAAGACTTCTATCAAAGGAAGCAATTACAGCTCAGATGGAAAGACAAAACCCTTACCTTTTTGGGAGATCCCTTATCATCAGGGTACCGATGACGTGAGAGATCAGGGGGACTCCTTGAACCACGCTGACCCTTTCCAGAAGGCAGAGCCCTTTGTGGAAGAGAGAAAACTGGAGCATGAAGACTCGCTCTGAACATGTTGAAGAGGACCACGCTTATGGGAATCATTGTGGAATAGACCTGACCTGTGATTCTTCCGCTGGGGGGAAAGGTCTGCCTCAGAGGCATTTTGGGTCCCCCTTCGTGGAGGTGGAGAATCAGAGTCACGACGGAGCTTTTCTACGCGGGAAGCATCTGCAACACAAACATGCATTAAGAACCACTAGAGACCCAAACGTGGGGATACATGAGATAACCCACAGACAAATCAAAACCTTAAACGATGACAAACTGTAAAGAACAAGCATGCGACATCAGCCTTGAAATTCTATTCCTCTGAACCTGGAGACAAGGCTTAAACTTTGTTTTCATTTTGGATAACTTTTTAAGACTTACCCAGACCACTTTTAGGACAAATCTTCTCTAACTAAATAAAGCATTACAAGAACTATTTTTACCAACAGAAGTGATAACCTCTCCACCACAATTCCACGCTTTTGGACTATACATCCTTACACACACTCACCTTTTGTTCTACTCGGCTTTTTCTGACCTGGTGACCCAGCCCTCTTTCTCAGAGGCGGTGATGAATCTGGGTCAGAATCATACCTCCTCTTACACTGAGGGGACAGATCTGGAGCAGCCTGCTGCTACTGACGTGACAAGGACTTGTCAGAGGAGCTGTGCCCAAAATGAAGCTGCTCTCCTTGGATCTCTCCCAGCAGTGACTTACCTGTCATTTGACAGCCTTTTTTTCCCATTGCTGAACTGACTCTTTCAGGAGAGAGATCTGGGGAGTCGTGGCGCTGCCGTTTTGGTGGGGACGGGTCTGGGGAGTCGTGGCGCTTCCTCCGGGGAGGTGAGAGGTCTGGGGAGTCGTGGCGCTTCCTCCTGGGAGGTGAGAGGTCTGGGGAGTCGTGGCGTTTCCTCCTGGGAGGTGAGAGGTCTGGGGAGTCGTGGCGTTTCCTCCTGGGAGGTGAGAGGTCTGGGGAGTCGTGGCGTTTCCTCCTGGGAGGTGACAGGTCTGGGGAGTCACCCTGTCGTTGCTTGCAAGGTAAGAGTTTGGGGGAATCATTTCTCTCTTGTCTGGGAGGGGACAAATCTGGGGAGTCGTGACGTTGTTGCCTAAGAAAGGAGGAGAAGCTTCAAATAAGTTAGCTTATTCATTTCCATTTCTCATCTTCAGAACAGACAAAGATATCAAACGGGATCTACCATTTGATCCCAATAGGTACCAGTAGAGGGTACCAGTAGAGCTACCAGTAGGGTAAAAGTCAGTGATCTGCACTACTGAGCCTCAGATTGCCCAAAACAGATCCCAGAACTCCAAGATAACTTCGATCACAGAAAAGCTCTAACTGTATCACTTCAAGCCTTCATTAACCCTTGTAACATTCAAAACTATAAACCCACTCTGTGTTCTCAAGTAATCACCTTCCCACAAAATAACACCCCATCACACCATCTTAGTCTAAACTCATTCTGATCACAGAACATCCCATATAATCACCTCAGAAGAGAGGCATGTTGTAACACAACCGCCCTCACTATGTTACAAATCTAGAGGCTGTCATCACTCCGACTGCTCTGATATCACAAAGGATTGTGGGATAATTGCTCATGGACTTTACAGAAACCCAAACAACGTGCTAGCTGGAAGTTCTCCCCCAGCCACGGTGGATTCAGCACGGAAAAAAGGGATCCTCGTGGAAGCTACTTCTCAAACTTTGCTGCAGACCTTGAGACTGCAGAACAAGATGGATGAAAGCACAAAAAAGGATCAATCAATGCTAGAGCTTGTAGCTGGACATCCGTACCGTGTGGTAGGTTTGGCAGGTGCTGAAATATCTGAGCTCTGTGAGTCTTCATTCTGGTCTGAACAAAAAAAGCAATCTGTAAGCAATCATCATTAAGGTTCTTTATAATTCCTTGTATTTCCTAATTTCACTGTTTAAAACTGCAAACATTCAGGCAGAAACAACAGCAAAATCCACCCTCACCTCCTAAAAGCTTCCATTTAGTGTTTGTTCGGAACTCCTCCATGAGCTTCACTTCATTCGGACGCTCATCAATAAACTCTGCCACCTGAAGGTAAGAGAACAGACCACACAACACAGCTCAAAAAAATAAAAGGACCTATGTTCTCTGAACGAAAGGATCAGCTATTACAGAATCACAGAATGGCCTGGGCTGCAAGGGATCTCAAGGGTCACCAACCTCCAACCCTTCTGCCACAAGCAAGGCCACCAACCTCCACATTTCATAGCAGCCCAGGCTGCCCAGGGCCCCATCCAACCTGGCCTTGAACACCTCCAAGGACTCGGCAACTATTCCCGCACTAGAAAGAACGGATCCAAGGGTTTTGCTTGCAGCCTCTCTCTCTCTTCCCTTCCTACATTCCCAGTCAGGACCCAGCACATTCTACAGCCGTTCCTCACTCTGCCTCACCCCACCCGGCCGTTTTAAGGTTCTTACGGCCATCACGCACGCCCAGCCTCCCGCTTTCGCTGTTTGTAAACAGTTCAATCGTAACGGCTCCATAACGGCCCCCGGCCCAGCTCCTCACCACGGGCACGTCGCTTTCGTCCTCCTCCTCTTCCTTCTCAGGCACAGCGGCGATGCTGCTCCAGCCCACGTCGTCATCTACGATCCGCATCCTGAGTGCGGACAGAGGGCCGCCATCAGCGGATCGCCCGACCGAGGCCCGCAAGCCGCGCCGGAATGGGGGAAGGAGATGGGAGGCCCCAGGGGAGGCCGTGACCCGCTCGGGCCGTGCCGCCCGCACTCACCCAGCTCTGCCGGAGCCGCTCGGCGGCTTCTTCTTGCGGCGGCGGCGGGGCTGAGCGGCGGGAGGGCCGCTGAGGTAGCGCTGCAGGTACTGCGCTTTGGAGATACCCGGCGCGGCCATGGCACCGCGACCGGAAGCGAAGAGCAGCAAAAAGGCCCAGGAGGGCGGGACTTCCGCTGAGTTGTGGCGCGTAGAGATAGACGGGGCCTCGCGAAAAGAGGCGTGGGATAATGGGCGTGGCTTCGCCGAACTGGGCGGGGGCACGTCGAGGGGCGGGGCCTCCAGCTCTACCTGCACGCGCCCGCATGCTGAGATGGCTTTATTGGCGTCCAGCACAGCGCCCGCAGCCCCGCAATCCAGAAGCCGCACAAACAGCTTTTAAATAACCCCCCCAAACTGCCTCCCCACCGGGAAGTTCTTGCTCTTCAGGCCTGCGAGCCGCTGCCAGCAGCACGGGAAGGAACGAGTTCTGCTCCTCAGAGCATGGAGGGGCTGCTTTGCACCGTGCTGCTACCGGCCCGAGGCCGGCACTGTCTCATAGCCCTCAGTCTTCATGTCGTTGAGGCCCAGGTCTTCGTTCTGCTCAAACGTGCGTTCATAGTGCTCCACCTTCAGCTCCGGATCCTCCTCTGGGGCGTACACGTTCTGCAGGGAGAGAAAAGCTTCCTGCACACCGTGCCCGAGCCTCAGGCTACAAATGCTTCAGCAGCGCTGCAGAGCTGCAGGCAGGATTTAAATCCAATCCCAGCACTGAGGATAAAACCTGTTCTTCATGCCACAGACTCCATCATTCAGTCCAGACAGTACAACCAGACTCCCTGATATCACAGAGCTGACACTGCTCCCACCTCCCTTCCCACAAAGCCACAAGCAGTTTTCTTCTCCTGGGCAGAGCCTACAGGAACCCACTCAGCACTGCAGCCAGAAACAAACCCTGACAGCCAACACACATCAAGGACACAAAGAAAACACACTCAAGCTGCTCAGAATACTTCAAGTCTGACTGCATGCCACCTTACCTGAAGATAGCTGTTGCCTGCGGGGTCATCCATTATAAAGACAGCCTTTGTCTTCCCTTCTATTATCTGCAGAAAGAGAGCAGCGTGTCAATACTTCTTGTAATCCTTCAGTACTTCCAGCACCGACAGATTCATGGCATGCTTCAGAGTTCTGACATCTTCCCCAGAAACAGCAACAGCTTGACAAGATGTGACGGCACAAAGGCCAAGGGTGGAACAGCTTGAAGAGGTACGGTGACACTTGCCAAGGAGTTAACACACTTCAAAGCAGCAAAAACGGTGGCAAAACCACGTTACAGCTCATTGAGACTTCAGAGGACACTTACCTCCTGCAATCTGCCAATGAACTCCTGCAGCTTTCCTGTTTTGCTTGGAGTAGAGCTGTCCCCCAAGGTGAATGGGTTTCTCTCAACCTGGAAGAGCAGACACGGGCATTTATGCAGCACAGGAGAAAGCCAGCACCAAAATCCCTGTGCCACAGGCAGACTAAATATTAGTACAGAGGGTCTGAGCTCTGCTGGGTGTTCAGAACTGCCCCTCAGGCAGAGTGCAAGGATTCAAGCTGACAGCATGACCAAGTCTGACCCCTGCTGTCACCAAAGCAGCGGGGTACAGGAGCTGGAGACAAGAATCCACAAGTGTAACTGACACACTATGATGCAAAGGTAACACGAAGCCCACAGAGGAGTGCACTGCTCCACCTTGAGTAAAACAAGCCCCTTTGGCAAGGTTCCACCGGAAGACAACAAGAACCACTCACCAAGTCTTTGATATCTTTCAGCAGCCCTTCCAGAGTGGTGAATTTCCCTCCCAGTGCTCCCATTCCCAGCTCAAACTCCAGCTCTGGAATCTCCACGCTGCACGTTTCTGACTGCAACAGAGACCCCCACGTGAATCCTGACAGCCCCACTCCTCAGGGAACAGCCAGGCCACCGTGCACCCGCCGCAGGAGCCAAAGAGGGAGGGAGGGAAACACCTGAAGGCTCATTACCTTTAGGATGTCTCTCGTCATGTCTGAAGGATCTGTGATTCTAAAGGTAATCCTGGTGCCTCGGGGTTCAATTGCTCCTCCAGATTTCACCTAGGAACACATGGCAGTCAGCAGATGGGACTTTTGTACTTGAGTCAGGCCAGGATGCTCTTGAAGGGCCTGCCATGGCTGCTCAGCTTGCTGAGCGTTGCAAAGGCTACTCCAGGCTTGGGGACAGGCCCTCAAAAGCAGGGAACATCACAGGCCTGGAGATGGATTACCCTCATTCATTACATGGAGCTTTTCCAGACACAATATTTTCTCCCTTCACAAATTTAAAGAACACAGGACCCTGGCCAACAACTCTGAGAAACTCCCCATCAAGGCAAAGAAGAACACACTCCCCAACACCCCCCAAAAATATATATATATGTCAATAGTTTACCTCATTTGTTCTGTGCCCACAGGAGTCACAGTTTGTGGCCATGATAATCACTTCCTTGAAGTGTGGGATTTCTGGAGCAGACAGTCAAGGAAAATTCATCAGAAGAAGAATCTACGAGTGGCCTGCAGCTTCTACTAGAAATAATTTATTTGTGCCTTATGGATGCTGCAGGAGTAGGTCTAGCAGCCCATACCCTGGCCTTTGCACAGACTCCAGCAGAAAACAGCCATCTGAGCCCACGCCATCACTCAAAGGATACGCACTAGCTTCATGTTTGTGTCAGCTGGAGCGTTGCACTCAGGGCAGTTGGTGTTGAACTGCAGTACCTAAAGCACAGGAATGAAAAGGACAGTCAGGGAGCATCAGCCGGCCCTGCAAGCCTGCCCCATGTGCCAGTCACCTGCTCAGAGCCCTCACTGCATTGCAAAAATCACCCACCTCGTTCCTCAGATCCTCTGCAGAATCAGCTGGCTTCTCATCCGATTCCTCTTCCTGCAATAGAAGGTTTTTAGCTTCTACCTGTGCCTCCTCTCTAACTCAAGGTAGCAATGGGTGGATGGTCTCCCAGGTAGCAAGGGGTGGATGGGAGCACACCAAGGCCAGCTGGTCTTGCGTGGAAGGAAAGTGGACACCACACCACCAGCAGTGGAGAGGGCAAGGCTGAGCAGGAAGGGAACGCAACACCTCCACGTTACCTCAAGACCCAACATAGCAGCCTGCTGGGGAGTCCGCTTGTAATAAGTGACTACAAGAGCTTCATCTTTCTGAGGTGCATGGGGATTCTCCACAAAGCTGTTCCCTGAAGGATCATCTATGATCTATAGGAGAAGAAAGCCACAGGAAGCCTTAAGAAGCCAGCCCACTCCTCCAACAGAACAGGTCTGCACTCCTGGACATACTTACAAACGTGAAAGGGGAATGCACTTCTTTCAGCTGCTTTAACCTACTAATGAAGTCATCTATTTTACTTGCCACCTCTTTGTCTGTTGCCTGCAAGAGGACACATTGGAGACTGATATCAGGGGCAACCCAGAGCTGAAGACAACACTGCTGACAGCACAAACCAGAGCTCATGATACACTTAGCAGAGTGTAAAGCCAGTAGGTGAGGGATTACAAAGTAAACAAGCAAAAAAAAAAAACAAGCAGCTCTCAGAAAATTCATCTTTCACAGCATCTTACCCTGCGGACAGGCTGGTCCTGCTCCAGACCCATAACAGCTCTGTCAATTACGCCTTCAATGGTGGTAAGAACTTGACAGGGAAAGAAACAGAAGCTCCATTAAGTACAGCCAGCAGTTTTCCCAAACCTGACAGCTTGTCTTGACAACACACCAACAGGAGGGCTGTTCCTCAAACACTGCCTACTACACAGTAGAGGCATGTAAAGGGGCACAGGCCACATACCCACCTCCCTTCTGGGAGAAGGCAGGGATCTCAAAGTCCAGCTCTGGAATTCGAACAGTGGCACAGTCAGTCTTCACAATCTCCCTGTTCATATCCTGCACACAACAGTTCACAAGCAGCATTAGGACCAGGAGCTTCCACATCCTAAGTGCCCACACTGGGGCATACAGTTCTTGCAGAAGAAGCAGCAATAGTTTGAGGGCACCCTCTTTGCTGTGAGGCAGAAACAGAACAAATGTCCCATTTCAGTTTGAAGTTACACTTTCAGAGACCACCCAGCAGGCAGCTCAAACTCCTGCCTCATCCACCCGCTCAGGATGGGCAGATTCCTAACAACCTCTGCAGATCTGGGGAGAGAGCTGCAGGCACTGCTCACTGCAGACACCAGAGCAAGGGAGCAATGAGCAGGCAAGATAAATGGAACACGCAGGAAGATAATTCTTATGCACACAAGTGCATCAGTAATACATACGCTTTGGGATTAAGTGGCTCATTGGAGAAGAAAAAAAAAAAAATGATTTCTCAAACGACACAAGAGCTTTTATTCTCAAGAGCAACACATGAGGAATAAAGGCACACACAGGGCAGCTCTGAAGCAGCTCCCCACCTCCCTTTGGTACAGCCCAGCTGTTTGCTGAGAGAAGCTGGGACAAGCTGCTCACCTGCCGGGAGGCCACGGCCAGGGCACAACGCACGCCCTGCTCCTGGATGCGGCCCGCTGACTGGATCTCGGTGTTGGACCAGGAGCAGCTCTCACAGGTGAAGGAGCTGACGATGATCTCTTTGAAGAAGGGGATCCTGGTCAGCAGGAGCCGCGTCACCCCCTACAGCAGCGAGGAGCCCGATGGAGCCGGGCGCGGCCTGCACGGCCCTGCGGGGCTCCATCCCCACACCAGCCCCCAGGTCCAGCCTCCCACAGGCCTCTCTCCCCCAGCACACCCCTGCACCCGTCCCCACCCTTTCCACCCGCTTTCCGCCCTCACGTTGCGGTAGCAGTTCATGCACAGGGACTCGATCTCCGCCGGCTGCTGCTCCCCATCCTCAGCGCTGAGAGGCCGGAACAGGACAGCCCCTCCGGCACCGGCCGCCTCCACCGCACCCAGCGCCGACATGTTGGCCGGGCCGCTCCCAGCGCGCCTGCGCGCCGCGCGAACACGTGACGGGGGCCGGTCACGTGACGGAGAAGGCGCGTAAGTCGTAGGTGATCACGTGACTGGGATGGAACCATCACGTGATTGCAAGTATCGCGTGATTGGGTTAGGTCACGTGACTGGGTGAGGTCACGTGATGGGGAAACAGAGGGACGGTGATG